GCCAGGCAGGCAGTGGGCAGTGCATTTCCCTCCCCAGCCAGCAGCCCTGGGGAAATGCCCCACCGGGACCAGCCCTGCCCAGGCTCCTTGCTTTCTCCTCCCAGTTCCTGTCCTACCACGACCACCATGTCAACTACGGCAGTGGCTCAGGGCTGCAGGACCGCGTGGCCTTCGTGCAGAACGACCCCAGCCAGTACGACGCTTCCATCCGCCTGGCCGACCTGCAGGTCTCTGACACCGGCACCTACCAGTGCCGGGTGAAGAAAAACACCGTGGCCGTGCACGAGGTCATCGTCACTGTACAAGGTGAGCCTCCCTGCCTCCATTCCTCCTCCTGGGTGCCCTGGGTGGCCCCCAATAGACCTAGTGATGACAGTGTCCCTCTCCCCGCAGAGAAGCCAGCCACCCCACAGTGCTGGACCGAGGGGGAGCTGATAGAGGGGAGCAGCATCCTGTTGCGGTGCTACAGCCGGGGGGGCACCTCCCCGCTTGCCTACCAGTGGGCCAAGCTGGCCGACGGCTACGGCGGAGGACACCTGCCCTCCGGCACCATCCAAGGTGGGTGCTGGCGGGGCTGTACCCACCCAGGGTGCTTCCCTGGGGGGCTCTGCTGGGTGTCGGGGATGTTTATGGGTGGCGTGTCCCTGTCTGTGAGCGTACGTGTTGGTGAGTGCCCATAGCTCTGCACACCCAGGTATGTGGCTGTCTGTGTGAACCTGTGTTCATGTCTGTACGCGCCCTTGTCCGTGTCCTCCCATGTCCATGTCCTCCCATGTCTGTGTGCTCCTATGTCCCTGTGCACCCGTGTCCCTGTGCACCCGTGTCCGAGGGTGCAGGTGCCAGCAGGGCTGCGGCGATGGGGCTGACGTGGCCATCTCTCCCTGCTTCAGGACGTGCTCCTGGCGACCTGTTAATCCGTAGCCTGTCGGAGGTGCATGTCGGCATCTACCAGTGCCGCGTCACCAACCGTGTGGGCTACTCCGTGTGCCAGATCAACCTCAGCCCTGCACCAAGTAAGTGCCACCACGGGGGGGACAGCGCAGGCAGGGTGCTGCCAGGGGCCGGCTCTGCGTGCCAGGGTGCCACTGGGGGCATGGTGACCAGTGGGCAACCGGCAGGGAGGCCGG